AGTGCTTATATGGAGGTAAAATTAAAAATATTTTGAACAGAAATTGCAGAATGATACATATCATGTGTTCTCAAATATATAGACATGCAAGCATGTATATGCAAACATATATACATCATATTTACGTATAATTAAGGACAATATATAGACTTTAACAGATGTGCAAATTTTAAAAGAAAAATTTCAATTAAACTTAAAAATAAATAAAAACATTTAAAACAAATTACATATAATCAGTTCTCTCCTTTTCGAGATGTGATATATAGAATTAGCCTTACTTTATATATTTCCACCTGTCATGTATATTTTTGGTTTTTCCTTTATACGACATATAATCTTATGTCCAAGTTATCCTCAATTTATATAAATACTAATCAAATAATTAATTAGTTTAAAAAGTATTCAGTCTTTATATCTGAATGCTTTCATAGCCTCCTGAAATTACTACTAACACTATATTCTGTTTTGTCTATGACTCAGAGGCTACTTTAGGGCATTTTTTAGGGGAGTTGCTAGAGAACGGTAGTATGCCTGCTTGAGAATATTTATTATAACTTCACATTTAAGAAAGAACAATGAACACACTTATATGTTTATAGAATTCTTAGCTAACAACTGTTTGTTCAAAATTCTAGATATGTGTTATTCAAAAACTTTACCTAAGAATCCAAAGTCTGGAGACAAATACAGTCTGAAGACAAAGCTTACATCCACCTGCTAATCACTTGAAATTGATAATTTTTGAAATACCAAACTTCTCTGATCCCCACTACTTACATTTCTGACTGTATCTTAATGCACTGCTCCTTTCATCCATAAAATTGGTCAAATGTGTAATTATTTTATGCATCTTGTTATTGTATTCCTTCAATTTCAAAATGTAAACTCTATACATAGAAACAAGTAATGACAAATGCTTATATAGAAGTGATATAATATGTAATATTTAATATGTAAAACAGTGATGGATGACAAATGCTTATATGGAAGTGATATAATACGTAATATTTAATATGTAACACAGTGATGTTAATATAATATTTAGCAAATTTGGTAAAAACAATTTCTATTTTATTCTAGAAGTTGGCAATGAGGAAGAAAAATCTAAGTTTATCATGATTTTCAAATTTTTATATGGTCACATCACTTTTGGTCTAAATGTTGCTCTGAAACTTGTTTTCTTGTTGCAATGTTTTGTTTTAGGCCAATGTTTGATACATATTCATATAGAATAACATAATTCCTTAATTGTTAAATGTTGCACATACATTCTTAAAGTGTACAGGAATTAGAGTGTGAAATAGTTTTTTTTTTTTCCTTTTTGTCTTTTTTTTACTGACCGGCAACGGGATCGCAACCCTCGGTGTTGCACCCGCACCGCGCTCAGCCAGTGAGCGGGAACCGGTCTCCACATGGGTTCTGAACCCTCAGCAGGAGCGCTGCCGCGCTCCCAAGCAGCGCACTCTCCAGTGCGCCACCGGGCCGGCCCTGAAATAGTTTTTTGAGATCAGTGTTATTGACAATCTTAGCCAAACATTTAAGAAAATAAAAAGAAAAATTATAAACTATCAATTATATAATTAGGAAATAAAATGATCAAATTTACTTCAATGTATTTAATAACAGAGACAAAATAGGAAAATTCCTTTGAATACACAAACTAACAAAGCTCCTTCTAGGAAATAGATAATCTAATCAGTCTTGAAACTTCTAGTAGGACTGTAACTGGAAACTTTCTAATAAGAAATTTGCCAGGCCCAGATGCTTTTGCTAGGTTCACACACACGTGCGTGCACACACACACACACACACACACACACACACATTGAGGGGAAAATAATATAAATTATATACAAAGTTTTCTCAGAAAACAGTACAGAGAAAACCCTTCACAAAATATTTTATAAGGGCAGCTTTATGCTGATATAAAATTGAGACTATGTTATGATGAGGTAAGAAAACTCCTGGCCATATCTTTAAAAAATAAAACCTCCTCTCTCCCCACACTTAGCGATTCTTGTCCTTAACTGTGCACATTTGATTCCAGAATAATACTGGGAGTTTTCTCTCTGCTGATCACTATCTTGGAAAGTTTCCAAATTTCAAATTCTTGGAGATGTCCTCCTGTGGAGATGGGCACTTCATAAGGTCTGGTCACCTCGGCACATTAATTCATAAATTCAAGTTCTGGTCAGGTTGTCAGCCACACACTTTGAAAACAAATACCATTGCACATGCACTACCATTGCACACGCAGCAGACTCCTGGAGGCTTGGATCAGCTTAAGTTACAGCTTTAGTGGGTGCTGCTACATCAACCTACATGGCAGGAGAAAAGCTTCGGGAATGGCCTTTTTCAGCAGGATCCCAAGTCAGCAGATTCAAGATCTCCAATATCTTCACATCTTAATGCCCAGACCCAGCCAGACTATTCTTGAAGACTGAACTGAATGGATAATGCATGTACATATACATCGGGTACAGTGTGAACCCTCTGGATGTTGTCTCTAAATTTATAAAATCCAAAGGTGACTCTTTAGTGATCCTCCAGCTTTGCAGAGGGGCTATGGAAACCTGAAAATAAGCTGATCCACAGATACGATAAGAGATAGAAAAGGGAAGGTACTTCTGTTAAAATAAGAGGCCCAATTTAAAGAAACAGACAACTAGCAACAGAGGCAATATTTCTTTAGAAGTCTAGTCCAAGATCTTACTGTATATCTTCAAAACTTTGGAATTGTCATGGTTAAGGATAAAATGACCCTCCCACCACAGCCCTGTGACAGTCAATGACACTCACAGGGAGGACTGTGAGTGTCACCTTCTGAATGAGAGAATCAATCAGGTCCCAGCCAGAGTGGATCTAGTAAGTTTATCATTTCAAGTAGAAATACCACCCCATGACAAGGAAGCAGAAAAACAGAGTTCTCCACAAAAACAAGACCAGTCTCAGTGTCCTGGGGCTATGTAAGTGTTCCTTTAGGACCTTGATGACTCAGAATCATTTCCTTTCCTTGCTTAGAAGTCTTAATGTAATATTCTATCAAAATTTTTCAGTTATTTGGATATCATGCTACTTGAAATGAACTTTAGAATGTACGTTAGACTCTCCAGGATGAAACTGGAGAAATGCATCCCAAGAAAATAACTGTTATTAGCAGAGTTAGGAAAGTATAATTTGTTATCGGAGATTGGAAGACAAAACAGTGTGGAGAATATAAAGAAGCATAGTAAAGCAGAATGGAAAAATATAGAACTTTAATTTTATTGAGTGCAATTATACAGTTAATGTGGAAATACACACTTTAGGCATTAGGACACAATGTAGTCATTGCTAAGCAGGCGATCTGTAGAGTCAGATGGTCAATAATCAAATCTCTGCTCCTCTTCTCCTAATTATAAAGCATTAAGAAAGTTATTTTATCTACGTGCCCACTTTTAATTGAAAAAATACATACTTACATACATATATATATAAAAAAGGTAACTCCTTTGACATCTTCAAAATTGAGCATTTCCGATGATTTGTTTGCTCGCTACAGTGTTGTAAATTACTTCTAGATCCCTTTGAGCTTTGTGGAAGAAAAGGAAAGGCACTCTTAGAAGTTCTGTGACTGCACAGGCCACATGGTCCCTATTACTGTAATGCTGGTTTTCCAGCTTCCCAGATAGGAGGTTGTTGGGAGGGAGAGGGGAAAGGGAGGACGGAGGGAGGTTTCAGTAATGGACCACAATAATCAATTACATTGTATATCAACAAAATAAAATTTTAAAAAATAAACGTTAAGTACATTATATACATACTATTGTAGAAGTAATATTTTGAAGACACTTACACATACCAACAATGTCCAAATCTGATAATACTTTATTACCATTTAAGATTGATTTTGGTAATTTTTCTACTTTAGGTTATCATATGAATGTTTTATAATTGTTGGATAACTATTTAAAAACTTTATGTTAAAATTAATTACAGAAGGAAAGCAGGAAAGAAATAGCTGACATGTTATGTGAAACTAACTAAAACAAAGAATATATCCAAATCCCATCACCTATTACTTCATAAAAATTTGACGTATAATATAATCTTTGTGTGTTTCAAAAGTTCATTTATATAATAGAAAATAATATCTACCTCAGAGTTTAGATGGATCAATTAAGTTAGAAACAGTTTAACATTACTTGGTAGTAGTAATAATAAGATTTTTTTTTAACTGTGGCAAAGTATGTAAATGAGACAAGGCAAATAAAAGTAGGAACTCAAGGTTAACATTTTCAAATAATTTAAATAGTAGTTGCTATTGGTGTTATTATGCAAAAAAACACAAACTAATCACACATGTCTATTTCTGTCTACCCTGGCAATTGCTGGTTGTGTATATATCCAGCTAGATCACTGTTAAGAAGGTTGGAATGGGGGAAAAATGTTTGACTGGTGGACAACGTAGCATCAAGTTAACTTCTTGTGGTCTTTGTTTCACTACTTTTTAAATGACACACAAAGTCCAATTTCCTCATGGTGTCTATTCAGTTATATGGCCATGTGGATAAACTGGGTAGCAGAGGCCATGAATTAACAATACATAAGAATGCTGCTTAGAGCAATAGCACTATACAAAGATAATGGTTGACCTTTTAGTGATTACTTGAAGGATAGTAGTCAGCAACATTTATCTTTTCATAGTGGTCATCCAAAATCACCCTCACTCAACTGGTCATCATAAAATATAAATTTTACTGGCTAGTCTGCCTCATATGTCGATATGATTGTCAGCCCATTGACTGTCCATTTTCTGAATTGTAAAATTGGTCACAATATTACACCAGTCTATTTTACCAAGGCATAATGGTTGTTGGAAAATGGAAAGGATGATATTTGTAATATATAAACCACTATAAAATTAAAAGGTATTAGATCTGTTTTTAATCACTTACTGATTGTACTCTTTTTCATTCCACTTGTTGACATTTAAATACATTCACATTTGTTCTCAAGACTCAGGCTCTTTTGCAGTAGAACAACCTCTGGACTCTCTTTTGTATCTGTTGGGTCTTGATACTATAAATAATGGGGTTCATCAAGGGTGGAAAAATGATATAAATGTTGCCCATGAGGACATGAACCAGTGGTGAGAGATGTTTCCCAAATCGATGCACCATGGTCAGTCCAATGATTGGGATGTAGAAAACCAAAACAGCAGAGATGTGAGATACACAGGTTTGCAAGGACTTGAGCTGCTCCTCCTGGGATGCAATGGCTAAGACAGTATGCAAGATCATGACATAGGAGATAAGTATGAGCACTGCATCCAACAGCAGGTTGCTGATTACCAAGGCCAGACCATAGATGCTGTTGAAGCGGATATCCGAACAGGCCAGTCGAATTAAATCTTGGTGCAGGCAGAAAGAGTGAGAAAGGATGTGAGGACGGCAATAGTTTAAGAACTTCAAACGAATGATGACTGGAGGTATGAGCAAAGAACTTCTACATAAGATTGTCACCCCGATTTTCATGATTTTGTCATTAGTTAGGATGGAGGAATAGCGTAGTGGGTTGCAAATGGCAATGTAGCGGTCAAAAGCCATAG